CAGAGTTATTTGAATGTTTCTTTGCCGTATGTGTCGCAAACATCGACACGTCACTTGGTTTTGCTTGAAAAGCGTTGCAGCACCTCACAGTGCTCGTGAGCTAATGAGCAGTGACGTCACCGCTCTTACGTCAAACGGCCTTTCGGGTGGAGTGTATTGTTTAGTACGTACACATGAATTCCAAATATATAAAATGTAAGTTTTCAGAATTGCTTGGTTAGTAACAAATTCGATAATTTCATTTACTTAAGGAATATTTCGCCCGTTTGCCAGAACAACGTGTTATCTATATATCGCGATGTTCTACAGATAACAAAACGAACACATTGTTCTGGCAAACGGGCGATTTTATCTTTAACTAAAGCACCGGCACGCTATGATGGCCGTTTTGACGTTTGTCCGCTCATCAAGTTTCGTATAAATTCATAACTACGTTGAAGGAGCTCGTTGACGTGCGTTGTTGTTAATAGTGACGTGTAGTAAAATTTATGGACGTAGGCATTAACCTGATGTAGGTATAATTTTACGAGACAACTAGTAATTTGTTTTTCGAAATTAATTTTTTTTCGAAATTAAATGTAATACGATCGTCACTTATTGGATCGCTGTCCAACACAACTTCTACTTCCGACAAACTAAAGTAGAAGTCGTGCTAGAATCGTGTATTGACGATATATTAAGTAAAAAATTTTAATTTTCGTTTTATTAAAACTTTTTAATAAGCTACCTCTTGCAATACTAGTTATAAACCTCATCATTTATAGAAGCGACTCGCATTTGATTATATTTTTTTCGATAATGAATTGAGATTTGACCTCACTATTGTAATCGGTCAAAACGGTGTCTAAAGCGTGTCGGTTCTGAAGTACAAAACGATTTGTCACCTATGGATTAATGCTAACTCAGAATGTTGAATAACTATGTTTATTTTCCGCATAGTTAAAAGCACATTGGCTTACTCTGTGATACTTACATTGCTGTTCTGTCATTGTAATTTTAATGTGCAATAAAGAATATTTCATTCATTCAATCATTCATCGTATAATAAACTCTCTTCTTGTTTGGTAATTTTCATATTGTATTTCATATGCCAGACTGAAGATGGTTTAAAAAAAAAAACCGCTTTGAGATCAGTCTATCTCGTTCGGACGAAAATACCACAGATACTTATACAAATGCTTCAAGTTTCTCACCTCTTTTACATCGGGTGTTAAAAAAGTCAGTCTGCCTACCCGAGTGGGAGATACCCATACTGGTATTCATTAATGTATAATAATAATAATAATAATATGTCATTAATAATAATAATCGGAGGCATGCATAATATTTTTGACATATTATGCATGCCTCCGAAGTTCCGTAATTATTGACATACAATCACAGATAAAAAAATGTAATACTTCCTGGACTCTTTTATTTTTTTATTTTAGTGCGACACACAATGGGCCCAAATTGATAATTCTTGGACATAGGAATAACTTGTGGAGAATCGAGCTATTTTTTTTTATGTGATAGATAATAACATTTCTAACAACTTTTATTCTTGTATAATTTTTTTAAAAGTTGATAGTTTCAGAGAGAAAAAATATTATAGCGCTGCTGCAGCGCGGCTAACATTGCAGCGGCTAATTTGAACGCGCCCTAAGGTAGTAGCACTTGCGATTAAAAACATGTAACAAGGTGCAACACGTTTTGTTTATAATGTACGACGAAATAGTCGGTTACGATAACAAGTGGGGTCGCTCGCTAACGTTATGTTTTTTTAATATTGATTGTGTCCGTTGCACTAAAATATAAAAAACAGTCAAGCTAACGATACACTTGTCTTTTGGTATTTCTATTTGATTTAAGCGGGAAATGTCGACGCGCCCTTGTGCGTTACAGTTTAAAAAAACGCTGTTTACGTAAAAATGTGGCTTACGATAAGTCGGCGGTCATGGCACGACATATTATACAAATTACTCGTGTAAGATTGGATACTACATATACAGTTTAATACAATTTCGAGTAACAATGTTTCTTATTGTACCTCGATCGATGCTTGACATTCTGCAAAAGCAGCCAGCATAGTTGCAAATATTAGTTATAACATTATATTATTACTAAAATACACTATTTTACAAATTTTTTTTATAATAACGCGCACACTCAACTTAGCCCCGCACTAGAGAAACCCTGTGTCGCGGGTGCCATGGATACACACTTAGACAACCACAAATTACACCCAAACTCACGAGAGAAATAAATGTAGGCCATACATATATTTCTCCCGGCCCGGTAATCGAACCTGGGACCTCTGCGTGGCAGTCCGGCATGGTAACCGTGCGGCCACGGAGGCAGTTAACTTTGTACGTGCTCACAAGTAGAAATACATATAACTACGAATGTAAATAACTTAGTTAACATTATTAATACATAAACCGAACACTAGAAAAAAAAAATTCGATCCGGCTGGATTCGAACCGACGTTTTCCAGCAAACTGTCCCAGAAGCTAAGCCAAAAAGTCGAACACAAACCTAAAAAAAATATCTGCAACAAACACATAGAATTCGTAATGTCCGCTGATTCGTTCCGTGGCTTCGTTGACGTCTGTCATCTTTGCATTAATAATTATAACAATCTCGTGGAGTAATTTCACAAAATTAATTGACTATCATGGTGGTCAAACATCGTGACATTCAATAAAAAAGACTTAAAGAAAACTTAATTATCACTCAAACAATATCCGCGTAAGGCATATTCCAAGTGTCAGTAATTTGTAAACGGACCACTATTAAAGCCTGACTCCCTCGAATGTCGTTGAACGAAAACTATTAATTAGTTAAGTAACATTTAATGCAATTTCAGTTATTTACAAAGTACCCAACACAGCTGAAGGGCGGCGGCGGTAATGCTTGTTAAATGTAATTGAATCTCCTAAACAAAAAATACACAAAATATGTTAAATGAAGTTACGACAAGATTACTTTTAATTTACCCGAACGCCCATTGACTAGCGAGAGAGATGGGTGGCAAATAGCTTCAGAAGACGAACAAGTGAAACAGCAACAGTTTGCACAAACTTGGAATAAATTCTGTCATCCGTGACCATAGACGAAAAAACCAAGTTAGTTGGTTCTCTCGTCAGTTGCCGTGACCGTAGTAGCTGTAATGAACTCGAAACGTTGGTTTGTTTGAAAAAACAAATACACGTTCTTAAGGGTCGTATTCTAGAACTCTACTCAATGCTCGAGTCAGGACTTGAGTATGATTCAAAGCACTAGAAATCATACTCAAGTCCTTGCCATTAGGGTCGTATTTCCAGTGCTTGAAATCATACTCAAGTCTGCTCAAATCCTGATTTGAGCATTGAATACAGTTCTGGAATACGACTCCAACTCTCGTTTCATTTCTAGATTCGAAATGTTTATTTTAGACGAAAATTAAACTAGCGCAGTACTTAGTTGAATCATAATTTACATTTAGAACCAAATTTTGATTATAAATTTAATAATGAAACGAAAAATGGCGCATAACTGGAGGCTACTTCTAAATTTAATTATATTTAGAAAATTCGCACAAGAGACTAATACTCAAGAAACGCTCTTCTTCTTTTGTTGAATTGTATGTCGAATAAAGTAACCACGATTTGACTAAACTGAAGAAATAATGAGACCAAAAAAAGTCAACGGTATCCACGATAGGCAACGATAGACAACGGTATTCTCCTAACACGGCATGTTTTAGTAATCCAAATAGGTATTGTTCTGCGACTTATGACAGTTAACAAAATTTTATTCGCACGAATTTGAGTAACAGATAATACTTTGAAACATGTAATAGGTGTGACGTCTCCTGTCGTACTTTGTGCACAGTGTCCTTATCAGATACTCGGACGGCGCGGCCGGAATCGTTGCTGACAGCGTAGGGGGAGTCACACCGGCTGCTGTCGACTCGCAGCAAATATTCGATAAGATTACTGGTTGCGAATCGCCTTGTTTACCTGACCAGCTACACGACTATGATATCATGTTGCACATGTTTAAATGGAAAATAAAACAGATTTCTCTAGAAAAATCTGTCTAGCTTGTTGAAATGTTGTTTCCATTTTGTTTTCATACTACGTACTCTTTCTGAGACTATGGTTTTGTAAAAAATTTATTTTTACTTTTATTTATTACACTACAACAAGATGACAGATGGATTAAGGCGATAAATAAGTCGTCAGGCGTCTAAGGCCTGGGTACAGGAATGTCGGGCGTCCGGGGCGAGATGGCAGACGACGCCGTAAGGGTCGCGGGGCGAACCTGGACGAGATTAGAGCAGCACCGAGAGGAGTGGCACACAAACTTGGAGGCCTATACCTAGCAGTTGGTGAAGTCAGGCTGTATAAGTATAATAAATATTCAAAATCACAATTTACACTTGCATCTTTATTAATATGTAGTCACACTCTCGCATACACGTACACGTCGAACTCGTTATTTTGGATGCATTATTTACCCTTCATTATAAATGAATATTTTTGGTCATAGTCCTTCCATATATTTTTGCTTACAAATAACTTCTACATTTAGTCCCTCTCGTTGGTTCTGACTGAGAACCAGCACCTTATGGAACTTCGGCGTATGCAGAGTCGGCACCCTTTCAAAGCTATAACAAAATAAAACGTTTTTACTTTTATATTTAATCCATGTAAGTGTCTTATTAGCGAGTAGACTAAAATAAGGGGAACAATATCTATTAGTAAAGAGCATTTATTTCCCCTCGTTGAGGTCTTTTCCAGTAATAAGGTTTGCCATCCAAAGGAGAAGTTGTCAACATCCAGTTACAATGTTCGTGTCCATTTTTCTTTTCGTCTATATTAAGCTCTTTGTACATTATTTGTTTAATGCTATGTAGATTCAAACAGAGATTTCTAAAATAAAAACGCAAACACGCTCCAGTGCAGCAGCTATCGTGAAATATATAAATAAATAAGGGATGTCATGTTTTGTACACATTGCCAGTAATAAAACGCCAAAAGTGATGCTTCAAAAAATAACAATTTTTAATTAATTCAATAAATATTTGTTTTTCTATCCACATTTACAAAACTTTAATTAAACACTGCAGTGATCAAAACGTACATTTTAAATTATAACAACGGGTAGATGTCATTATTGTTCTACTATGATAAATGTAATTATATTAGATTTTCTAACTACCTTACAGCTATTGGTGTTTCTCACAATTATTGTTTCTGTTCATTACAATCCATTCATTTCGTCAATGTCAATTGGTTTTTGTACGATATAATCGTATATAAATACCGCCCGTCCAATTTCCAAAATATTTCTCTTTAAGTATAACTTCTCGATAGTGAGCAGAATTGTTTGAATGGATCAGTGGATATAACGTTACCACACACATGTACGTTGCAAATATTAAATGAAGAATAGACGGATGGCTCGCTGTCACTCTAAGGGACAGCATCCTAAAATTCGGAGAAGTAAAGTTTTTTTTACATTTAAGTTGTAATACATAGGATCGTTTAAATTAAAATAGCGTTTAGATTAAAATAGCTACGACTAATAACGTGGCATTGTACATAATTATTCGAATAAGCAACGGTTACGCGCAACCATTTAATAAATATGCATGTTTAAATACATAAGTAAACACTGAAATACGTAGGCCGATGAAGCTATTACAATAACAAATAAGATAGTAGGCTTCTGCGCAGTCTGATAAAAGAAAACGTAACATTAGTGGAATAAGTTAATAAATATACATTATTTTAGGTATGAGATGATGTTACAGGAAAGTAAAACCAGAAATCAGATGAAAAGAGTTCCGCATGCCTTTACGGGTATTTAGAATATAGCAGAAAATGAGCGTCTAATTAAGGCAGGATGGTGCCAACCCTAACGCACGGCGGTGTATGGTGAGTGCGGCAGAAGATGCGTGGTATTGACGAAAACATGGAGGTGTCATAGTGCGAAAGACAATGTAATGACAAGTCCGAAAATGGAATGTCTCTCATGACGATTATGACAGAACGTAACGGCATATATATATGGAGCAAATGTGGCGTAAAGATGGATGTAAAAGGCGGGAAAGGTGGACCTCGGCGTATATAAATCAAGCAAATTAAGGACACAAAATAAACGAGCCTGTTTGGAAAGATTTATGATAGCAAGTGGAGGAAGCGGGAGTTATGAAGGGAAAGTAGGAAAACAAGTGAGGAGATCCATAGTCTCTGCCTACATGTGTCAGGCATCTCGCGACTGTGGCACACGGAGGGAGAGATCTTGAAATATTGTGGAAGATGTTTTGCTTCACCCCGTCGATTTATTGGCAGTTTCACTTTCAAGTTTATTTATTTTTGGAGTTAATTGTATAATTGAGCGGCGCGCCTTTAATTTAACGTACTATGTTGATTAAAAGGAATTGATCCTTATAATTGACACCTTCGATTAGCATCAGAAAAATACAGGATGTTTTTTTGACATTTCATGCCATGAAGCAAAATATCCTGACTTTCCCTCCGTGACCCATATGTCTTACACCCTGTATATCAAACAGGAGTAACGGTATACATACATGTATGACCAAATCGATACCTCCAGTGAACACTACGCCAATTTTAGTATTGGTCATTTTCTGTTATTTTTGTAAACAGACATATTTATTTACTAAATTATGCTCCCTGAATTTTGTGAAAAAAGAAACCAAAAAACAAAATTCGAAAAAAAAACAAAAACTTTTGTGAAAAGACAGAAACAAAAAACAAAATAGGTACAAAAATTAAGTTAGTATTTATTGGAGGTACCGAAATTATAGAAATATTATTATAATGAATGTATTACCCCATATTATTGGCAATATGTTAATGAATAAGTTATCCTGTATTTCATCGGACGGTTGTGGACATGCGTGTATAATGTAAATACTAATCTATGGTATTTGTAGTCTAAAATAACTTACAGTTAGGTTTCTTTTTTTTATATAACAGAACAAAACATTTGTAACATTGCAAAAAGCGCGTTTTTTTAAGTACCGATTGGGGTTTATAAATTTACAATAATAACCGTTACTCGCTTTCATCTTCTAGAGAACAACTTTATGAAAGACAAGTTCAAATGTGCTATCTACAGGTTATTGTATAATATTGTCATATTTTTAAGTACATATTTAATTACACCACAGCAGATTTCCAGCTTCTTTTCACTGAATAATTCGAAATACCCTATAATAATCAAAATTGAGGATTTGCATCTTATACAGGTTGCCATTTTATTTCGTGAAATTTCAAAAACGAAATTCAGCATAATGAATAGCAGTATGTTAAATTAGTGAAAACAGTTTTTAGCCCGTTTATTTTTCTATTTTTAAAATGTATTTTTAACGTAAGTATGAATATCGTATAGAATTACGAGAAATAAAATAACCAGCCTGTATATGAATAACTTTAAAAAATCCTTATGCCAACACAGTATTTTATTCTTAGAACAATGTGTTTGAATTAAACTGTATGAAACGTTTGCCCTCTGCGTGTCGCTTTGGTTCCGCAGCGTTCAGGTCAACAATTAACTACACGTATAACATTAGTCAAACATCATTCCAACGTAGTTTTTTGGGTAGAGTAGACGTCGATCGCATTTGCAAAATAATGCTCGGTGATTACTTTTTAGATTATTTAAAAATGGTATTGATGAAAAAATCATTTGTGTTTATAATATCAATTGAACATTAATTATTTGTTCCAAACATGAATTCAATCAGTCGTAACTATGAAACTATTATAAATGAACTGCAGACAGAGACAATTTACATCTTTGTTTTTCTATTTGTTTTGTTGTATTGTATTGTATGAGGTGGACAACTTCCTATCTTTTCTACATAAGTTTATTTTATAGTGACCTTCTCTATCAACGTATTGGTTATGCGGCGGCACTATGACCTGTTCAAGCAATCTCGCATAGGGACCTACTCAGTCTGGTCCTGACCCCAGATCAGCCCGTTTACACGGACTTCATACGGTTCTCAGAACGCTAGTGCCTTAGGTGAGCCGCCCCTTGTGCACGTACAGTACCCTCCCCATTCTACAGATAGGTGCCGGATTTGAGAACAAGCTCACTTCCCATTGTGCTCTGCTTACACTCACTTCTCGAAAAACGGTGTCTCTCCAGTTCCCAATAACCTAAGCGGCTAGAGGGTCCGAGGATATCTAGCTCATCCTCTACAAGCTCTCCGAGCTAGTGCCGACGATGCCGGCCACATTATTCTGCGACCAAGTCCAGACATGGCTTCCGACTCAGAGGGCAACTCACGTGGCCCGCGCGTCTCCTCGCTTTAGGCCCTCGTCTAGACCGCTTCTAAGTCGCGCTACTGGACGAATGAAATGCACGAAGTGGACAATGTATTTTTTTTAACCTTTTTATAACCTCGACACATTTAGACACTCAAGAAGCGTAATTTTCATTTGTTTTCCGTTTAACGATTTGCCGCCTACTGACAATGGTTTTGTTAACCTCGTGTGTACTCTGGTTAATTACTTAACATAATACTGGTACTGTGACCCTTCTTTGTACATTGTATCACAATTCGGCCTTTAACAGCGCAAACAAAAGTACCCAAACACGTTTATGCTAATATTCTTTCATTAGAGATTCTTTCACACATTCATTTTAATTATAATGAAATAGACTTCACAAAACATTACGGTGCTCACGATATTTTTTCTAAGTGTGAAACAGTAAATTCATAGAGTTTATGCAATAGCAATAGCACAACACATGTATAATGCTGAACTGGATATTGTTACGAACCCAATTACGAATGTCACCCGCTAGTGTAGGTGGTAGGTACACTCAAATGTGTCACAATATTTTTTATAATGGTCACGCACGCCTGATTTCTGGATGCTAAAGTCAACATTTGTGATGGCTCTGCGGGAGTACTTTTAAGTGAGTTTATACGCAAACAAACGTTCGCAGAACTCAGCCTGGCGCCTAATAAGAAAGTAACAAAGGCAGACGACAAAATAACATGACTAAGTTAAGTTCGTAGAATACATTTTACTTTATGTCCTTGGCGTGGGGCCTGGCGATCCATAACATAGGTTTTATCTAGCTTGGAAACCAGTCTTCCACTATACTTATTGCCTACTTTCTAGAAAATGGCACGGTGGTGACAGTGAGCTATTGTCAGAAATAAACAATTTATTATTGGTGGTATTGTATTCTGTTCCTAGATGATTATCAAACGTACGACAATTGAAAAATAACGGTTTTCGCACAATTTCACAGCACACTAGGACACTAATTGAAATGGAACATTTACGATAGCTTATCACTACATACATACATATGTACGTAGGTCATTCACGTTAGGTAAGTGGGTTATTCTAAGCTTGAAATAAAAACGCCAACGCATTGGTAAAATTAAAATAAAGGTCAGTTAAAAATAATCCATACACACACAGCAGGTGGCTTACGCCTCTTTGCCTTGAAGCATGGAACAATGGAGTTGATTCTGTAAATCGGTAAAGATTGTAGTCGCTTATCCTAATATGTACTTAATACTTACATATTGTGTGTTTGGAATGAACGGACATTAATGCAGGCAAACAAATTACAGACATTACAAAAGGTGTTGAATAAAACATCGTGAGACAAGAGGTTACACTAACTTTTTCACCAGAACTGAGTAGGTAAACTAATCATAGCCTATACGTATGTATATATTTTTGTTCCCCATAAATGCAATAGAGTTCAACTGCATACATAGAACTCAATAGATATATAGTTTTTGGAGCTCGCTGAGTACAACTATTATTTAAAAAGTACATCAATTGCAACAAATGATTCCGTTAAGATCTACCTAGACTCTGAAACGTTTATAACTAAACTAAGCGTAAAATATTTGTTATAAAAACGGCTCCATCAAACAGAAAAAGAAAAACACAACAATTAATTAATTAAAAAACGAAATTCATTCACGAATATTGAGTAACACAATGTACCTAATATTTATTGAAAGCATAAGACTGCCCGCAATAAAACTAATAAACTATGATTTAATAACAAACTTTTTGCCTGATTGCGAATCGCAATCCCTATCTGATGAACCCGTAACAAAAAGCGAAGTTGACATGCAATTGCTGAATCTTCTTCAGTACTTAACTAAATGGTTTAACGACGGTAAGTACATTTATTTACATGTACAGACATAAAAGCCCAAATATTTCAATATTATTCCATTACACTAGATTCCAAAGTAAACTTACACTATCAAGGCCTCGAGCTTCAAGCACATTTGACATAACCTAATACAGACTTTAAAATTTCACTGGCACATCGAATTCCACGTCTACGTTTCAGGTTCAACTTCCTGTTTTCGGGTCTCGTGTAAATAATGGCACAGACTCCGCAGATCGTAAGTTTCTCGTGTCGAGAACGATGTGATCTTTGGTTCATTTCCACAGCCAACCAATTTCTTCTCAAGGCACTCTTTCCGCGTCTCCATCAAGTATCTCTTCTCGGGGTCCATGTATGCTGACGCTTCTGCCAACTTGCTTCGATGTCCATGGACAACAACAGCGTCGTACTCGCTGAGAGGTAGAAATCCCTTATTGTTCGTGATGAAGCAGTTCCCGCAGTGTCGCTTGACGAACACGTCGGAGCCTTCCGCGTCCGAAAACACACGTGTATTTGATATTAAATAAATCAACACGTATTTGTCGCCAATGCGCAGATCTTCTTTCACAAAGTTGTACATGGGCTCCGGCCGCGCGATTGTTGACAGGAAGAAATATATGAATGAATACAAAAGCAGGACGATCACAGTTTTTTGGAATTTCGACACTTGCCGCCAACACATATTGGGCGCATGTCGTCGGCGTGTCGTGTCGCGTGTCGCGTGTCGTGCGCGCCGCGGACGTCTCGTCCCGCCCGCGTCCGGGGCGGTTTGAGAACAAATGAGTGCCGGTCGATATACCGACACCCCTCTTGTACTTCATAACAACCTAAATCCAACCTAGCATCACGCAATACACAGTCTAAATTCCATTGGCGCTGGCATAAACAACCTGTATCACGCCAGTCGTCGCCCATGCGGTTTAATTTTATCACAAACCAAAAGCGACTTTAAGGAGTTTGTTCAGAGTAGAATTTTGTATTATGAGAATGGAGAGGTCGAAATGACGTGTTGATGACGTAATGCGTCTGCACAGAGGAATGCGAGGCTAGGAAAGCACTTGAAAAAATAAATAAGGCAAGTGTTTGCATTAGAAACAATGTAAAAAGAAACTAATTTATATTCCATTAACGTTGATGTGCCTTATCAGCTGATTCGATCAATATAAGTAGAGAGCAACTCGAGCAGCGCGATAAAGGCAAATATCAATAACAATATCACCGATAAAGCGACAGAATGACAGTGGTGACAGCTATAGAAAAGACCCGTGACGATCCTTGTTCGTTGTTGCCCTGATGACGATACAATATTTTGTTAATAGAGAATGAACTAAATCAGCTATTTCTGACGCGCATATTCCCGTCATCTTTCCACAGCTGGGCACGGGTTTCTTGCGATGATTTCGATTACAGTCAGTCACGCCGGCACTTTGCGAGTTGGAAACTTAACACGTTTTCTAAGGGTGTGAACCTACTTCGATACGCGGGTTACATCACGGTTCAGGATGTTTTCCTTCCCACAAGTTACAAGTCTGTGCAGTCGACGTCTCGATTGAAAGGCGACCGTTTTCCGAAAATGATGATAAGAAAAAAGAATAGAGAGACGACTTCGCGACCACGAAAACGTGAAATATTTTACAATTTTTCGAACTATCAGTGGGTTGGAAAAATACAGTTTTTGACGATTTTATTATTGGAAACTTATACATGAACACTATGCCACTTAATCTGCTTGTCTTAAGAAAATGCAAATATATACAAGTACCCACTGGACGTTACTCACTCCCGACGGAAGCTAGACAACGTTTATTAATGATTTCGAAGAATTCTTATCGATTCCGTTCTGATGTATGTATATTGCTAACTGATATCTACTTGGAAAGTAAGTACTTTAAAACCATAGATTATAAAGGAACTTTCATTACCTTCTGTAATTTACATTATACAGGGGATATTTCTATAAAAGGTATAAAAGTAATGCTGGTAGCAGATTTTCCATTATTTATTTGCATTAAAAATAGAGAATATATGTGTAACCATAAAAATGGCAATTTAATAAGGTTGTCATGAATTGGTATCTTCGTTAGGTTGATACTCATCTTACAATGTCATACAAATGGAACGACGAATAATAGTTACTTGCGTTTTAAACACTTCGAACGTATTTGTACGAGAAATTCGTTCTCTTTTTAAAACTGCTAGTCAAAGTATGTCCGTTCAATTCCTTTTTATTCCGTTCATAACCGACCGTTCAGAAATCAATAGTTACGATTAAAGTTACCTATCAAAAGTAAATACAATCCTAACAATCCCGCATCTACAGTTCAACGACTTTGTAGTTAGTGGAAATATCCTTAAAATTACAAGTATTTATTTTCCTTATAACCTAAATACAATTCCAACTTCTTCCACCGTCAATGTAATTATTTAAGTTTCAATGTTCATTGCGTCAAATCCCGAGATCTTTTAAAACACGTTTCGTTTATAATTTTGAAACTGCCAGAAAAACTTAACAGTGGGGCTACCTGATAATGTTAATTTTTGTTATATTTTTGATAAAAACCGTGAAGTTTTGTATACGATGTCCATTACGTGCTAAATAAGTCGGATGTTACGCTGGCTTTCAAACGCACCATGAAACGTATGACAATGATTGCAAAGATCTGTTTCAATCGATGCTCCGTAAATAACACATGTATGCCATATGGAAATTCAGAGCTATCGTTGCGGGTTTTTCTAAATTTAAAATCACATCTAGATAATTTAAGAAGTGGTTTAAACCGACACGATCAATTGAAATATAACAAATTACCTAATGATAAAGCTCCTCTCGATTTACTTCTTTTGAGGTAAATTCAATACGTATCTTATCCTTTTTAAAGTATGAAGATACTCCGACCGGATTAACATGTCATATATACAACCACGTCCGCTTCCTACTCGGATAGGCAGAGACTATAGACCTCCACCCATGTAATCGTATGTATTATTATTATTTACATAAGTAATTGGTTTTAATATGCGATGCCAATCTCTGAATACGTATGCAACGCGTGTCGCGCATCGCAGTCGGCAGGACAATTGTTAGACATTCTAGTACAACTCTGTTACTAAAATGAGTTATAGACAATCAACTCAATTACAGCGCCTGTAGTCATTCCTTTTCCTGTGGCATCTCTCTTCTTCACACAATCCCTGATAATTGAATTTTCTCTAAAAACCATAAATCTTGCCGTAACTTGACAACAAGTTGTGTAACGTGTTATCACAAACACCCACCTTATTCTATCACGGTTTATCTCCGTGTAAGGGAAAAGGATGCCATGATTTACATTTATTACATGGCGTGTGTCCGGATATTAAAGTGACCGCTAATCTAATCCATTTCCTATGTAATAGGATATTTGCAATCGACAGACACAATCGTATCCTGCAGTACCTTTATAACGTTACTCACATACCCGACGATAAAGTGACGATGTTATGTGCTATTACCATATTCAGAGAACAGTTAATCGTGCGGTAAGTCCATTACATTTAATCTGAAGAAGTTTCGAAACTCTGGTCGTTTTTGCTGTCAATAGAAAATATTATAACGGTGAGTGTGCGGCACAGACCTTACCTAGGTATCCAATAATTAAAATGAGTAATAATTTTCTAAAACCGTTAGGTCAGGGAAACTCCATTGCATAATACTTTTTCCGCATGATTAGCCAAGGATTTTCCCTCGTAATTGTTACTTAACGGACATCGCCATCTAGATGGCAAGAGTTGAACTATTATAAACACTACATTGAGCTACTTTTTAGATGCCACAACTCGCTACTAGATGGCACTCGCTTTCTGTTGAATAAATATCAGAGTTTGAATAGACACATAATTAGGCCTATATAGAAAACGTTTGTTTTGAAACGTCTTTGAATGACTTTGAATAGGTAAGCAAGTGCAGCAACTCATGAGTAGCACTTACTTGTGAAGATATTGTATATTTTCTTGTTTTGAATCCGCGTCAAGATGTAGTGAGCACAATACGAATGATAGATAATTATCTCCGGTTAAAATTTACGACCGTTAAATCTCCTATTAATTATCGGAAACCACAAAGCCTTGTCATTATGCGGTGCGATTAAAACCGTGCCGCACATGTTTTCTGCTTTTTTGGCAATTACCCAGATTTTCAAGGCTCGTATATTGCTTTTTGTAATGGTGGGTAATAGATTTCTGGGCCTATTTTATTTACGTAGGTATTTCAAATAAGTGTGCACCCCTTCTGAAAATTGATAGGTAAGTCTACACAGTGTCTTTTTTTCTACCTGTTTGGGATAGATAAACATCCAAATTGTCGTTGGTGCAACACCCGAACCTTTCAAGAATACGCCAGAGTTTCGTGCTAGTACTTCTCAGGGAATTCTGATTTCCGAATGACCAATGGCGTTCAATCAATATGACAATTTGAAGTGTAATTTGCTTACCTATGAAACAGAGATTTATTTCACTTAGACTCGCCACTACACAGGACTTGACACAGGAGATAATAAAAATCGGTTCTCACTACCCAAAGTATATTGAGAAAGAAAAACGCTTTCTTCTTTCATTAAAATAATTGCTCCTTAAGTAAGATTTAGGCGCTATTTATAAAAGTGAACGTTCATCAGAAGTCGGTTAAGTATGTCAAAACGTCATTATCAACCATCTGTCTCCTTTAAGGAGAGAGCTTAGGCTATAACGAACTATAACCGCGAAGGTTTGGCACTCTACGCGTTTTCCAGGGATTGTGAACCTTCTTCAAAAAGCAGAATTCATCACGAAGAAGTAAAACACTTCACTGTTAGCGAGAGACATTTACTAAACATTCACCGACGACGTCTCGAATCCTTCACATACCTTTTAATTACAATGCATTCATCTACAATCCTCTAGTGTACGTCACAATGTTAGGTAGTCCCCAATCACACCCTGTTCCATCTTAAATCTAAGACCAAGCCAAGACAATAACGATAAGCTTTTGTACAACAATAATCCCGAATAATCTCCACATCAGCGTAACGTCCAACTGTCCAACGACGGGCCCGGTCGGCGGTCGATCGGACCCACTTAAATTACGCAGTGCAAAGATAAAGACGGGGGTTTGTCCGGCGACAGGGCACTTGCAAGTTTAGGGTGATGCCCGTCTCGAGACGTAGGGCTCCAATTGTTTTATATATTGAAATGGGAGGCATGGTTCAGTGTTGCATTACGTTATTTATTTTTTGTATATTGGTACAGTATAAACCGTGAATTCAAACCAATATTAATAAATCTTTTGGTTCTTTCAGGAACTACATGTTACGATAAAAATAGCCGAATTCAACTCTACCATTGAAATAAAGATAAATATTTATTTCCTTATGGTTTAACCGCTGAAAAGTAAGTGTGAATTTGTTTAACTTTAACAAGCATTACAATAGGAGTAAACCATTCCCGTGACAGCTACGTGTTCATTTGCCAAATTAATTAAGATTTTAATTTAAGGCATTACCTAATAAAAATATATATTGTACTTACATACAATAAGATAACTGGTTGGTATGTATATTTATAAGAATAAGAATATAGGTGAACCGTTAAAAAATAATTTGCACACAAGCCGTTGTGAAATCTAAACTTGTGGTACTTGGCAGAGATAAGCTTTTTGGGTACTATCACTGACACTCGAATAAAACCTAAGTACATAAAATTAAAAAATAAATAAAAATAAACATGAGCAACTTCTGAGAAGTCCCTAACTGGCCGCCGAGACAAATCGTCCGCGATAAGACTTCACGACGCAGCTGTCGATTCCGGCACGGAACAAATCCCGGGAATCGCGGGATTATTGCCGGGACAAGGAACGGTCACTTTGACCCTTCAGATACTAATTGAAGCTTCTGTAAAACTTTCTCATAAAATGCCAATTTATACGATGAACCAGCTTTGTTTTGTACCTTAGATTCGTTTGTACGAGTCTTGAATTACGTAGCATTTTCCAATGATTGCTCACTGGCATGTTCGTAAGAAAATGTTACAACAAAAATGACAATACCTGCCCATTGCTGTGCTCACAAGTAGTTTAGTTTCTTACCTGAAATAAAGATATATATACATTAGTTTTCAATACAATGAATTTAAAAATTTACAAAAATAATAATAGTGAAAAACCAGACGGAGAAATGCTAATTCGAATTCATTTGATAGTTCCAATATAATTATTTAGTTACCAGTAGATCTCCTTGTGAAAGAATTCATCCAGGGAAGTTCTGTCACCTTATTTATTTTTGCCTCCAAATAATAATGTCAGCATTAGTGTAATCCGGTTTTGAAGGGAAGTGTGCTGGTGAAATTACAGGCACATGGGACTTCTCAACTTATGTCTCAGGTAGGTGGATCTAGTGCCAAGTGTTTGCCCAATAGAAGGTAGGATACCAAGTACGAATCAATACATGTACCTACAGTGTAGTATGTACGTCTAACCTACTACAAAAACTGTTTCAAACCAGATGAGTTTTTTTTCTTTTAAATAAAATTGTGTAGCCAATGAAAGCTTTAACAAAATTGCACAAATGAAACCAGGATTGAAAAAGTCGCTTTAATAAAACAAGAACGTCGTATGTATACGAAACATCCATGCAAAAACTTTTTGTTTGATAAGAAACATTTACATACATATCAAGTCAACATATTTCAATAATTGTGGGACATTTTAGAAAAAAAATTTATTTGTGTTCAAAATTAGATTTTTGTTCACCACAAGTTTTTCTGGAATACATTCAGTCACACTCAGTATACAAACGCGTAAATCGATAAACAAAATTCTTTGTTTGAAATTATACCTTAAATATTTACATTAGCGTTTAGCAGTGCCTCTCTTTATTTATCTTTTCTGATCTCCTTACTTGGAATGCGCTCTTCTAGTAATTAATAGGTGAATACAAACACGGTATCAAATTTCATGTACTTCAGCTTGATTCTGATGCTGATTGAGTATCCCTAATGAGGGGCAACCCAAAAGTGATGTAGGTTTTACGCGTAGCACGCTTTCGGAGCGAGTTTCCAATGCGCATGAATACGTGTTCCATCCTAGTGCAGAGAACGGATCGCCTCAGAGAGAGAGTAACCTGGTCTGTGGTTTTAGCCTAGAGTTTCGTTCCAAGCAGGCATAACGCGATTTGGGCACCCCAGACTTTTTTGAAAAATGGATGTAAACTATTTCCGACATTTATCCACGATATAAAAGCAAGTAACCATTAGTAAAGAAAAAGTAAATACTGCGCGTGATTCGAATAGGAACTTGACGAGGCAAGAAAACTGTCAACCAAGATTATGCTAACAATTTATTGATTGTACTATTATCAGAACGATAAAAAAAAAACGAGAGAAAATGGCTTAAAACCCCGACGAGGCATAAATAAATAAACAAGGCTTAAAATAAAGGTTTTATCTATAATGTAGGCGTTAGAGGACGCACAATTTTAATTCATAATAAACTTAAACCACCAGCAATGGATGCATAGTAATCCGTTGGGTTAAATACTGTGCTAAATACATTGCCGTGTCTCCACGCAGCGCGTAATTACCGCACATTAGGCACACGATTAGTTGCCTTATTAATGATAGGGGTAAACGCATTCTGTACTAGAGGAGATTTCATCCATGGTTTCAATTTTTTTTATATACGTTCTGAATATCACTTCCTTTCTACGAATCCAGTATGAGAAAACCCGTGTTCATTCATAACTTCATTTAATTACCGACGTTCATTCAACGAGGTTATGAAATAACAGAAATTACTAAATCATCACCTCCGAAACTACCAATTTGAGGAAACGTCAAAGTAATTAAAAATACTTTGTTGCGAATATTCTCACAAAACTGTTATTAGCACGGTGATAAAATAAATGGCAACATTGTCAAGAGGCATTTGTAGGTTAACGCGTCCGCAAAATGGCTGACACCATGAAATGGCGTCTGTTCATGATGTGTGTTTTAGGTCTAGCTTTGAAAGTTGAAAAAGTTACTTCTTCGCAAGAGATATTGAAAAAAATGACAATGGGTTTCTCTAAAGTCTTGGAACAATGTAAAACTGAGGTAAGAAAGTATATTAATAGAATAATAATATTATAAGAATAATAATATTGCTACCTGTTACTTTTACTTTTTGCACATATCGGGCACCAAATTTGTCAAATAAGGTCATCGAATCAGAATATAAACTATAATTATAATATAACATCTTTAACCTAAAATAACTCCATGGCTCAGGGATTTAATTTGGTTTTTTGTTCTTTTTAAATATAAATTTTTAGTAATTTCATACGCTTGTTTTAAATGCCAGATGAACCTTTCGGACCACGTGATGCAGGACTTCTACAATTTCTGGCGGGAGGAGTATGACCTGGTAAACACTGAAATGGGCTGTGCCATCATGTGCATGGCGGCCAAGTTCGACCTCATCACCGACGATATGAAACTGCATCACGGCAAAGCGCACGAATTCGCAAAGTCACATGGCGCTGGTAAGCAGGGATCAAAAAACGAAATTTATACTATATACCGTTCAAGTTTACCTACCATAAACTGGATAACAGTAATATAATATAATATAATAATAACGCACACATTCATCGCTCCGCACTAGGGAAACCAACTATCGCGGGTGCCATGGATACGCATAGACAATCAAAAATTACATAAAACTCACGAGAGACATAAACGTAAGCCTAGACTCGAATCCGTTCGGCCACAGGCAGTGGAAGAAAATAGTTTTTGAAAAGGTCTATGGATTGACCACTTTTTATTGCTCCACTCTCATTACGTTGTACTGGCACTCCCGAATACTTATCACGAGAGAGTTAGCAAGACGCATACTTACGTGCATGGACTTTGAACTTAATGTTTCGGTTAAACTCTAAATTATAAAAAAAAACCAATCTTTTGAGGTTGTGGTTCGTGGAATTCCATCTATTTGCCAAGTTTTTTTTTAAATTCAGATTCATCCCTTACTTTGCCATTGTTGGGGGTGGAATATTTTCTTCAAATTTTAAATGGGACCAATAATGAGTTATTCTCTTTCCAACAAAAAAGAATCATCAAAATCACACAAAACAACATACACACAAAGAAAAATAGAATTGTGAGCCTCCTCCTTTTTTTTAAGTCGGTTAAGAAGTACTTTTTCACCCACGATTCTCTGATGTTCATCTGTATTAGTACTTTTTGCTTGTCCACCAGACGACGACATAGCGAAGCAACTGGTCGGGCTGATCCACGAGTGCGAGAAGATCCATATGGGCATCACCGATGACTGCAGGAAGGTGTTGGAGATAGCTAAGTGCTTCCGCACTAAAATCCATGGCCTCAAATGGGCACCTACTTTGGAGGTTGTGCTTGAGGAGGTCATGACTGAGGTTTAAGAGGGAAATAAGAAAATTAGGGGATTTTGTAAGAAGATACATTCAAAGCGAAACTTGTACACCTCTTGCCACTTTACGATTTTCATAACATATTTCCAAAGTGTTTCAAAGTTTAGCTTTGTTTCTGGAGCTGTAATGCTCAAAGATGTCTACGAACAAGTTGCAACCTACATACGTAGGTAATAACAGTCATCTTTTTATAAAATCCTATTTCAAAACTGTACCCGATTTAACGACTTTTGGCATTCATATGGGATTTTGAGCATGATGGCGACTGTTTAGCCCTTTTGCATTATTCATTAAAGACGCTTCTCCCAAACTCTCGGTAAGTTGCCTACTATAAGTTATGTTTTTAGTTATATTATGAAATAAGATATATAGAAATAGCTGTACACTGCACATACAGAGCAAGAGAAAGAAATTAGAGGAATAAGAAGTAAGACAATGTTTTATTTACTCGCACATGGTGGAAGGAAATAAAATAGTTTATACTGTTGTATTGTTATTAATTATACTTTCTACATTTCTAATATGACCTGACAAGGTTAATTTTCGTTGTAAGTCGACGATATAGTTAAATAAAGTAATGTTTCGTGAAATGCTTCTAAAAATTACCCAGTTGAAGTACGTTTAATCCAATTCTTTCACTTGTGTACTTTTAAAGTCAATGCAAGATATCGGGGCGCTATCGCTAGGGTTAATAAAATCTATTTTATATAACCACGAAATGCGTCCAATAGAAAACACCATTCTGTTTTGTTTCGTGAAAATAATAAAGCGGGGCGTAACGACTGAACAAAAGCCGATAATATTCTTCGATATTCGGTTTTTCTAACACAACAATAGTTATTAATTTTTGCAGCATTGAAAGAACGTTGTTATGCAAAATAATTATCACCACACATAGTTGTTGTAATAAACATTGCATGAATTCTAGCATTTATCATTCATATATAACTTATGTGCCAGACAACCATATCAATTACCTGGTCTCAAACTTGGGACTGCCCTTTACTATGAGTACCAGAGCAACGGAATTCACTCCGGGGCACTACCCGGACCAGAATCAATTTAGAAAAATTAATTTTCCAAATTGGTCCAACCTGGAATCCGGGAACTTCACATACCACCCCCCACAGTGCAAATCGTTAAGCCACCGAGATCGTCAAATGAATGCAAGTGCATTACATTGTAATGCTGTTTTTTTTTTACAAATATGCTATGACGATCGCCTGTAATTTTCTGGTTTTAATCATGGGTTAATACGTGGTGTAGTAATTACCTATGCAGCTAGAATTCTGCAACAATACACTAACGAATAATAGAAACTATTGCACAAAAGCCGAATTGGTGTTAAAAAGCCCTAAAACTAGAGCTTTCGGAACAGACAAAGGGCGGTGCAGAAGTATGTAGGGAAGACAGAGGGGTAAACAATAAAAGTAAATATCGTCACGTCGAGCTCAGGTGCAGTTGGGAACGGATAGATTTAACGACACTGTGTAAAGAAGGCGCTGCTTGCAAAGCGCCTGATTTTTTTTCGCTTTGCTATTTAGACAATAGAATTATTTGCACAGAAAATATACGCGGTAATAAGATTCACAAGAGACAGGTGCTACACGAGAATTTATTACAAAGAATATATTTTAGGATTGATTTCGGGTAACAACTATATTTTGTTAATATTCATATGGTCAGTTTATTGAATTTCTAATATATTTGTAATAATTAGACGTTACCGTGAACCGAAAAGTGCAAAAATACATAAAATTATCTTCAAATGTAATTGCAAACTGTATTAATTATTACATTAAATTTCTAATTGATCTACATTAAGATTTAACTATCAAGGCAAGGTAAGTTATAGAAACATTTAACCAAAATTAGGTTTCTTAAACAATAGCACGACCAGTGCCTAAATACAGACCTTGATTAAAATATGGATGTCTACGTTGACAAGGGCGTTTCGACGGCCCGTAAATTACAAAACAATAGCTCACTTCTCTGTTGTCGAGTAATATGCGACAGCTTAAGTGGATTAACATCTAATGTATCATACAATAATCTGATAAGTTTGATTTAACTTAAAATTAGCATGATTAACTCCAATATGAAAATAAATTTACCAAACTTGATTGAAAGGCAAACAATCTTTATTTCTTAGCTAAGCAAATTACATTTGAAATTGTCATATGGATTAAACTCTGCTACTCATTCGTCTGGGAGATTCCCCTGAGAAGAATGAGCAAGGAACTCCAGGTGTCGCTCTTTATAAATAAACATGTGTACACATTTATCATTTTCCTACAATATTTGAAACATCATGATCAAGACAAGACACACAGAAACTGTATAATAGATAACCTACAATGCAAAATTCCTGTTTCACTATAGTCTTAAACCTTATTATAGAAGCGTATGCATTGCCCCTTAAATGAAGATGGTTATCAAGAACAGGCAATTTATTTTTACTCCACGTGATAATATATATAATATAATGTTGCGTCTGCGAAATATTTTATAAAAAACATAATGTTATTTTCATAAATAAACTGACAATAAATGACGCTAGTGTAAGAATGTTTATTTCTTTAAATTTAACAGTCAAAGAGTCTCTCTGTTTTTAAAAATTGACCATCTACACTTAATTAAAATTCTATGTTACGACATTTGACTATTCCAGTTTCGTCTTTCCTATATTCTGGCAATTTTCAATTTTTTTTTATAATCTATTTCAAAAAATATTCAATTTAATTACCTACTTCCGAGAGGTTTCAATTGACTTTAATGTTCGTGTAGATAAACTGATTTCAAGGACAATTTATAGGGTCTAGCTATATTTAAAATGGTGGCTTATTGCATACCACAAATAAAACAAATAACTTCAACAAGAAAAACAGAAACCTAATATAAACAAAAAAAAATGAAAACAAAATATAAGGAGTGTTAATTGCACTAGAATCGTAAGTTTACTGAAAATAATAATTAATATCAAGAACAATAGTTTAATGGCTAGAGAGACAAAAAGACAATGTACTGAAGAAGGTAGCCGCTAAGGCCAATAAATGCTTCCATTATTGGCCTCGTTATTTTAAATTTCACTAAGAACTTCGCCGATGATAATGTCCATCTTCGGAACCCAGTTGAGCTGGTCGATGGCGGTGCGAAAGCACTTGGCCACCTCCAAAGCCTTCATGCACGCGTCTTCCACACCGGAATTCTGTTCTTCGCAGGTGTGAATTGCTGTCACCAGTTTTTGAGCTGTGTCGTCACCTGATAGGGGTTTGGTGCTGATTAAATATTTTGGTACTTTACTGGTCGAACCGGATACCTTTACAGATGTCAAGACTGTTTTGGTAATTCACTAATTAATAATTATTACCATAGTTGATTCCTACCACGGTACCAAAGCAGTGGCAAGGGCATGCCTTGCTTATAACCCAGTAGCTAGTTGATATCTAACCTTTTAATTACTGAAAAAACTTTTAGGGTGATGCTGATCATTTCTCTTCAGTACTTCAGCGTTATATTTTAGCACAATTTTAATTTTAAGGACCAACTTAATCCTGATGTTTCGTAAATAATCTAGTACCAGAAGTGTAATAGATCGATGATGTTTTCACTAATATAACTGTACAGGTTTAAAAAGTTACTATTCCCACTACCTACACAAAAATCTTACCAGCGCCATGATTCTTAGCGAATTCCTTTGCATTCCCATGGTGCAGCTTTCCGCTGGTATCGAGCAGATCTAGCTTTTGGCTCATGCAGACGAGGGCGCAACCTGTCTCACGTTTCATCAGCGTGTAGTCTTCTTTCCAGTAAAAGTACAGGTCTCGAATCACATGATCTGAGAATTTTAGCTAAAAAAAATTACATTCCGTAGAGAACATAAACATCCTTCGTACCATTTAATAGAAAAAACACTTTTTTATTATTTGTTTTTAAGTAAAGCTCTGCTTCGAACTTCGTTCGAACAATTCCTGTCTGTTTTTGGAGCAATATGTTTTTCATTTTACAGTAATAGAATAAAGTTAATTTACCGATCCATCTTCAAATAATTGTGCTCCTAAGAGAAATGATTCCCAGCAAAATAATTATTTACATTTGCTTGAAAAAAAACTGTTAAAAAACTTAACTTACTTCATGTCTACATTCATCAAGAGCTTTCATAAATGTAGAAGTGATCTGCTTCATCGTCTCTGATGAACCTTCTATCTCTTTCCCACAAAACACTAATGCCACGAGGGCGATAAAGGCGCCTTTGTGTTCTGCCATTGTTGTCTTCCATATAGTGGTTGAAGTGCACTCATGTCACTTATATAGATGACATGATTACTTATCACGAAGTCTTAATTGTATGCAAATTTTAAGTACTAACCGTTGCTTACTAAGTAGAATTAATTGCCGGTTTCGTACATAATTGACCAGTGATGGACAGGAAATAGTAATTAAAAGTTGTTGTGTCACTGAGGATTGGAAACGAGTGAGCTATGGAAGCGTACAACAACATTGCTGTAGGTAAATGGTCTGCTACAATGTATTTTAAGTAATGTACGCAAATACCTGTTAACGTCTCAAACGAGGAAGACGTACAAAGGTTCAGGAAAAGGAAAAGAAAGAAAAAGAACTCCTTTCAGGTCAAATCGTGAAAATTCCTACAAAGGCTGGTGTACGTAGTGAGAAGAATAGAGAGGCTTATAAATATAAAAATATTGATGAAGGTAAAGCAAAAGAGAATTGCCACGATCGTGCAAAGTGACAATTGAGTGACAGTCTCTGTCTACCCCGATAGGAATCCAAAGGCGTAAGTATATACAATGTATTATTATCTTTCATTAAACAGTACGAAGGATTTCAATGTAGATTCAATGAAAACAAAGATACCTAATTAGGGTGTATCGTGCATTTTTATATTTATTCAATTACTATTTTTCAAGGACTACTAACAAATTATTGAATGGTGTTTTAACACTAGCTTGGAGATTGCGACTTATGTAAATTATCGGTAGTATGGACTTACAAAAATCCTCATAAACGAAATTGTTGTTGTTTGTAGGGTTTATTGCTTAATAATCTGTGTTCTATTGTGACGAAATCTTATAAATTGACTTGAAATTATTCGCAAAATTGGCGTCGTAATTGATATTGTATGATTTACATACTAAATTATCATGTTTGTTTATTTTGTGTGCTGTTTTGGGATTGCTGGTTTGGGATCCATTTTATTTATTAATTTTTGAAGGAGAGCCTTTGGTGAATTGGCAACGTGTGCTTTTTATGAAGCGGTTATAATTAAATTGCGTTTATGTGTTTCTTCTTCAACTGCATCAGGTACAGTTATTTGTGACATATTTTTCTCTCTAATCATAAAAGAGTTACCGAAGACTACAGTTTTTGATACTTGTAACTTGTTTTCTGAACTATTAGTATTGGTATTCGCCGATGCGATATCTGTGGTCGTACCATTTGCAAAATTTATTTTCTTTTAAAATGAAATCATTTAATGTTAGAAACTGTTGTGAATTCGTATCCACTTTCAGGGTTAGTCATATTATCGTATTCTTTAGCTATTCGACTGTATTTTGTATTGTTTATATTCGTCGTATCATTATGAATGCTTATGAAGCGTTGGTTTTGAGCCTTATTCGATATGGTTTCAGTCGTATTACTTGTTCCTAAATGAGCTAATAACCAATCACGTGCATCTTGCAAGTTCTTCCTGCTGACGTCTGTGCCCGTGTTAGGCGTCCAGCCTAAAGCTTTAATGCCATCTCGGAAACAAATACTGTAGAGAAGACCTGCGGCGCATACATCTTTGTACAATTGCTGGTTGTCAATAATATCTCGACACTGCACCATTAGAAAAATCATGCCTTGTATCGTTTTCTCGTCTATATACAATAAAAAATGTCAGTCTATTCAAGTCATAAAAAGAAGTCAAATTGAGATAATGTACAATAGGATTTTTTATTTTAACTTATCCTACGTTGTATTTTGTATTGTTCATCAAATAATCAACACAAATAAATGAAATAAATAACAAAGGAAGTAATGTCAAATTACCAGCTTCGTTGGCCCTCAGCAACTCGATGGCCTCTGATACTCTAATTTTTCCAACTTCGTCAATCATGTGCAGTTTCTGTGATATGCACAACACCGCACATCCTGTCATTCTATCCGTTATTGCCTCGCCATTCCAGAAATTCAGAAAATTTAGTCGCAATTTTAAGGGATAGTGATACTGGAGTGAAAAATAACGTCAATTCAGTATATTTTTATAATACAGTTTGAGAAGACGGCATCAAGGAGCTACCACATTCAATATGATCGTCTAACTCCTATCTATATCAAAATAATGACGCCTCATTGGTAGATTTAATTTGACAACACTACCTAACAAAGTACCCTGTTATGAGAGTAGAACGGTAGCCCATAAAACGCTTACCATTGCCTCGCATTCAAGATACCGATGTCCAAAAGTATTCGACAAATTTTTAACTATTTCTTGTGGACTTAATGATTTTTGTATATCATGTTCGCTTAAGGGTTTATCAATGTCGATTCCTGTCGATCCTCCCAATGTATGATCGCCTGGTTCTTGTTTTTCTTTTTTCAAGAACGGTTGCTCGATATTTCCTGTCAACTCATCGAGATCTTCTACATCGTGAAGTATACTTGGTAAAGCAGATCTGAAATGAGGGTTTACCTGTCGATGTTTTTCTTGAAGGTGACGAGAAATCACCGTGTTTCCAAATAGCACTGTCAACAATAGCACTTGGAAAACATTCATGACATCTTAACCTTTTGGCTCTTATTACTTGAAAGGGTATAAACGTAACAGAATTAAAGCACACAATGTGTTAAATTGGTTATTAGGGTTACATAGGTAAACGCTACGAAGAATTCGACGTGGGATTTAGGTTTAAGACTTGAATGGAACTCTATTTTCCACTCAAAGGAAGTGCAAAATCGAAATCAGATACTCGTGTGCTTAAAGTTCAGGTTCTCTATTGACCGACACTGACGTTGAATACGTAACGATAATAATAAATAACTTAGCAGCAAAAAGAATTCTGCGTCTAACGCGAAATTGCACTTGACCGATATTGCACTTTACCAATCAATGGTAACAAGGAAGGCATGTAATTGACGTAATTAAGGTAACGTTACCTCCATTCTTTTAAGCTTTAATTGTCATAGCAATGCGAGTAATTAATATGACACCAAAGTTATATGTGAATGAGTACAGGATTATGTTAGTAAAATTCCAGCTTTAATATCTTATTTTAATTTGTTTCAAGAGTACGTGTCTTAATCTAAAATAAACAAAGCCAACGAGAGGGAGCAAGAACTAAACCAAATACAAAAGTTTTATATTATTACCTAATAAATCCGTTAATGAAGCCGTTTCGTTACACATTAGAAGAAAAGTACTAAAGAAGATACATAGGTAGATTTAGTCACAAGTAAAAAAAAAAGAAAAAACAATATACACTATACAAAATGAAAACTAAACTTAAGAGACAGCTGAAAGTATTGTTTCAAGAAGAATAAACACGTAAAATTTCAGAAGAGATTAAGAAAACTAAAAAAATACTATAAAAGAAAATGTAGAGAAAAAGAATAAAAGTTAACTTCTAATATGCTACTTATGAAAATATCAGCCTGGACCAGGTGAACAGAAGTGAAACGAAGATCTATATTTCGGCGAGCATTTCTCCCACAATGACATCCATGCTCGGCGCCCACTGGAGCTTATGGATTTCGGTCTTGAAGCAGTTAGCGACGCCGAGCACCTTGATGCAGTTATCGTCGTGGGGAGGGGCGGTCTTTTCGCAGTTGTGCAGAATGTCCGTCAGCTGCTTTGCCAAATTTTCGTCTGCAAATGTTTTGATATTGGCAGTTATGAGAATATACTTACTGGAAAAAAATATCATAGTGTTTTAGTTCTACTTGCAGATGTGTCAGACTCCTGGACAAGTCCTCAAAGAGAGGATGGTTTGGTGTATTCTTTTCAGCAATCTAATGACAAACGTGCAACTTTTTTCGTTCGGTCGCCTAGATACAAAAAAAAACAAGTGACTACTAACCCGCCCCATGTTTCTTAGCGAACTCTTGCGTGTTACCGTGATGCAGCGTTCCATCAGGGGAAATCAGATCAAGCTTCGCGGACAGGCAGATGATGGCGCAGCCCGTAAACCGGTTCGTCACCTCGTAGTCCTCCTTCCAAAAGTTCTTGAAGTCTACATCGATCGAGTCAGGTAGGTCCATCTGATTTCACCATTAACAATGTATTTAGAACTAACAAAAAAGTATTCTTATGCAATTTTCATGTATTTTTTTTTAGGGAAAAAATAGAGTAAAATCGAATTACTGATCGAGTTCTTAGATTTTCGCGATTGTTACACAGGAAATGAAACTATTTTTCCGGATTTAAATCGCGTATATTTGTTTTTCCAAAAAAACCGACGTTTCGGGCATTTTACAGGTCCCATGGTCGCGGTTGACTGAGGTAGTACAGTCATCAAATAGTTATTTAATTACTGAGCCAACTTACCTCCTTTTTGCACGTATCTATAGCCTTTGAAAAATTTATGGACATGGTTTTCATGACATCAGCAGATGATTCAACCCTCGTGGACATTGCCAGATATACAATCATTAGCATCAATGGTTTCCACATCTTAACTACCTGCAATACTTTAATTACTAATTTTTAGTTAACCGATTACCACTGTAAAGGATTGTTATCGCGGTATGATTTACGCTCGTAGTTCGCGAAAGTATTGAAATCTGTATCTTTTCAACTGTTAATTGTTTTAGATTCTTCAATATTTCTTCTTCGTACAGTTACTGTATCTAGTTACATTTTAGTATGGCACATGTCTTTTATAGTGCTAGGCGTCATTTGTTTAAGCTCATGTGGTTTTTAATTGCATAATTGTTGGCTGTCAGATCGTTGGTCACGCCTTTCAATTTGTTGTTAATTGTTTAACCGCGTGGTCGGGTTAAAGCAAAACAGTGATGTGGAAAATTTGCGTCGTTGCTAATCGAAACTAAAATATGTCAATACTTATTGTTTAAGTATTTACATAGATAGTAGCTATTTATATTTATCCCTTTTATTATGTAATCGTCGTGATTTCTAGATACGTTTAAGGGCCGTAGGAATATTAAACGCTAATTTTTAAATTACCTATCTGCCCGTCTAATTCCCTGGTTGGTATTGACAAGTCACAACGAATTGAAAATACGTTTGCGCTTTATAATTATCGCAGTCTTGCTCACTTGCAGATTTTAATTACTACTAAGATCTGTAAGTAACGTCAATAAAACTACCTTAGCTGAAAGAATAGGTACATGTACACACATGTGTTCTGGAAAAATATTATAATACCGAGTTCACATACCGTGAATGTATCCACGCATCCGCCTACTTCTAATAGATGAGGGTATGTGTCAATAGAGTACCTCAAGCCGTGTTAAGACTTGGAAATACTACATTCCAATCTTTTTCCCGCTCGTATCGTCCTACCACTTTATATGATAACTCAAAATCACGGCACGCCTGAGCCGACTCCCCAAATCTGCGGAGACAAAGACAATGACTAATAACCACATGGCAACATTCACATTCACCTCACGTAGTGTTGCCAGGGGAGATATATATTTCTCAACTGCTCTATATGTAAATTTTATATTTTTTCCGTGGAATAAAGCTACCGTTTTATTGTTTAGGGCTCCAGTCAGGTTGGCAGTTGATAAAACAAATAAAATTTGACGGTTTATTTTATAGGCGCAACATGTGCGTGGCATTAAGAATTGTTGGACAGGTGGCTGTGATTTACTAAAACAGGTACTTTCAAAAATGCATAGGCAAATAACATAATTTTTTTGCACATTCTTCATTCGAATCTTTTGATTCACCCAACACGCTCATGAATCTCACAATTTATTTTCACTTTGTGACGATACCTTTACGGTACCGATACCTTTCGTTTATCAAAAAAGTGTTTCGCTCCCCTTATACCTGTCACCGAACTGTCAGAATGGTCATCATTATCATGACAAGTTACCCGACGTTGATTGATGATCAAACTTCTGCGAAGAAACAATTTGTGTTTTTTTTTCTATATTTTTGTTATATTCGTATAAAATAAAGATAGATTCGTATAAAATAAAGATAGCATTCCCGGCGCACCCTGTTATTCACCAGTCTAATAATTAACAAAAGGAAGAGAAAATAAACTTTAGCGTCGTATTAAAAAAAATGTTATCTTTTGTAAATCGTCTACCTTGTCTGTCTTACGTATAAATTTAAAAACATCCTCTATGGACTTTCAGAATGCAATCTATGGACGATAACAACAAGTGGTCTGTTTTGCCGAGCGAATGTGCTCAGTGGTAGTGTCGAGACTCGGACTGATGCTTTTATACCAGACCAATCTAATTCTAGATCTTTCCTCGAAATGTATTGCGCTTATTCTTCTTAAGATCCTCGAAGTGGGAAATTTTATTATTACAATCAGAATTTCTTTATGTTAATCCCTCTTTGCAAACTTGACGTAAGTGATATTTATAACGCGATAAGAAATCAGAAACGAGAGTAGTGGTCGACAATGAGTGGTAGACAGATTGTCTGTTCTTATGTCAATTCTTTTTGAATGAAAAATGAAAAATTATATTTGTTTCAGAATCTCGTAAACCTAATGAAGGTTGGACGCATGACTCTATTGTGGAATTAATACGATAGGTTTCTAGAAGATGCTCATTGGTTTGCACGACAATGATTCAAGTTTGACTCTCTTAACTAATAATAATGTGTTAAACGACTAAAAAACTAGGAAATTTCCGGTGCCATGAGCCTGGGAATGTTTTTATTAAGCAAACTTGTATTGGTCCCATAGCAAAGCTTAATTTCGTAATTTTTGGAACTCCATATTATTATTCACTACACCACTACTAAACTCTATTGAACATAGGCTTCCTTCAAAAATATTTTTGACGAATATATTAGGTCGCTTAATCATTTCCCATGACATTAGTACCGGTTGTTCTTATTATAACCAAGAATAACGCAACTTGGTACGATGCTTTTAAAATTCAAAGCCAATCTAACGTATCTACTTAAAGCTAGATACCACGTACCCTAAGCGTAAAATTGCATTTGGAACTTTCCAGTCACGTAACTATTGGTTCTGTTAAAAATGTCGCGTGGGAGAACTACGGTCGTTTACGTCACCAAGACCATCTGTCACTGGACCGGGATTCCGGTGCGCCGGGAACGGGAGCAGTGGTCCGGGGAAACAGGATACGGCCCGAGAATAGTAAGTGTGGGTAATAGATTGTGAAATTGATAGTGGCAAATTAAAAATGGTGAGCGAGCAGAGTTTGCTTCCTGGACTCAGATACAAATATGAATCAGCTAACCACCTCCAACCCATCATAGACAGGCTCTACCAACTGGAAAGCAAAAATGAAATCTGTTTATAGAACGAAATATGACAAAATGAGAAGGGAATGCAGCAAAAAAGAGCTAACATCTTTATTAAAGTTTAGTCTTCCTGCAGTCGTAGCATGGCGTTATAACGCATGCGTTGCGATATATATATTATGATGAAATTTATCAACCTCAATGGAATTGCGTATGTAGTTATCTGTATTGTTTAATCATCGCCTTGAAAATTATAATTCTTGTAATAGAATCGTTGTAAAATGACGGAACAAAAAATGACGGGTTTTTTGTAGTTTTACATAAATATTTTTTTTGTTTAAGTATTGTGACGTTAAGAGTTTCTTGATTATTTGTTACTCTGTTTAAGCTGATGTATCTATAGCCAATGCTCAATACATAAATAATAAAAACGATGGAAAAGTTGCAAGCGTTTTCAAACGCTTTTGAAATTTGCAAAAGACGCATACAGTCGTTGTGAAAAATGTCGGGAAAAACTATCTCGGTTTATTTTATAACTTTCTAAGAACTCGTTATTTTTATAGAATAATAAAGATGATATAAAACACCTACTAGATAATTTTACATTACGTTACTTAACATATGCGTATTTTTTTTTTTTTTTTAATTTACAATTTCAAATTACACTTGCGTATAGAACTGTATTAAACTGTTCTCCTCGCCTTTTTCCAATAATTAAAATATATCAGCCTGTTTCTTTTTATTATTTCTGTTTATCTTGGTTAGTCGCGCTCAATTTTTACGTTGATAAAATTACCGTGCAGAACTGCCAAAATGTTTTAAAATAAGCTATGACCTTGCGACCATGTTCGTCATTGCGATATATTGTCGGAACCATCAGTCGCGGCGCGCACGGTGCGACGAAAATGTGAAGTCAAAACGACGGTTTTTCACTCTAATTTAAATTCTTGAATTAACTGAATGTTGATATAATAAATTTATCATGGTGGCATGCTACGGAGGCTGATTGACAATTTACAGTCGCCGTTAACATGACCTGTCTATCCGCTCACGCGATGCACTACCTACCGCAAAATGGCGGCTATTTGGTTTCGCAAATTAGAAAAGCATTCAGTTTAAATACAAGTTTTTATAAATAAAAATTATTATTCTGAATTGCTAAATAAATACCTCCGTACTACCAACAAAAACATCTCAAATAAAATGCAGTAATACACCGCCAATCCTGCACTTAAAAAGCACTAATGAAATTTTTGGTGTACTTGGATAAATATGATAATATTCCGTTTGAGTGGTTCTAACGTTTACCATGAAATTACTCTCTAAAGTATAGTTTATAAACATTTATATTCAGGATAAACTTAAAAAATGCTACTTACGGAGTGTTTTCAATACATAAACACCGAAATCACCATCCCAAACAATAACACACACGATTGTCGTGACGTATTTTTGAAGTTGCTTATTTTTTTTAAATGACTGACCCAGGTATTAAAAACTTTATGGTTTGCTAGAGTAGTTACCGAAATAGCAATTAATATTAGTTCTTTTACCTGTTATAACTTCGATATCCGATAAATTGGTATAAAATCATCACCGGCACCTCTAAGTGTAGTATGCGTCTACGGCTACATGTATCGCGTGAGCGGATGGTTGCTTATTAATAATAAATTAAGATTTCGGAAATTTTAAATATGCCTGTATACAGCAGGCTATGTAAGGAAAACCGGTATGAAGGAGTCTTCATTCAAGTCTTCAAGGAGTCTTCTTCATTTAACAAATCCATTCATTCAATTAATTAATCTATTTGTAGTTGGCATTACAAGTGGCCATCACTAAACCGTCTATGGTCAGTGATTTGTTAGTTTACATTTTGTTCAAATTGGATTGAAACGAAGTATACAATATATATTATGTGCGAAAAGTTAACAGAGACGAGAAAATTTCTAAAAACTAATTAATTACTTATTAAAAAATAGGAAAATAAATAATGTTAAGTACAAAGCAATTAAATTACTTGTGCGTGCTTGTGACTGAGCCAGTGGTCGTGCGTGCGTGCGTGCGTGCGTATGTGTGTGTGTGTTTAACTGTCTATTTGTCTACTTTCAGAATTTGTTCAACATCCTCTTAGAAAAGTGATTTGAGCCAATTTTTCACTTTTGAGTTTAGTTCTCTGATTGAGTAACTTTTCAAAGGAAATTCGATACTTATTTTGTTGTAAATAAAAGGATGAAGAAATGAGCTAAATTTCTGGGCAAAAGCCGATTTCGTTAAGGGTACAGGTACTACGTCTTTGCAGCATTGCGGCTTATTCAGGAAATCTTAACACCTCCGCGTGCAATTTTGATACAACGCGCAAAATAAAAATCCCTCGAACACTAAGAACATCCATGTCCTTGTGAACAAGTATGGTTGGGTACCTGATGCGTTCCTTTAGGATGACTTCCAAGACAGTGTACCCAAATAAATACTCTTTCAGTGACTTGCAAACATTGAACACCGTTATTAGATGCGCTGTCTTATTCAATATGTTCCGACAGAATTAGTTCTAAGGGCGTAATCACACTGGCTGTAATCGCACCAACTGCACTCGAACTGTTTTCCTACGGATTACCGACTGTTTTGACATCGTTAGGATCGCGAGTGCTTCGGTACTGTACTTACTAAAGAATAGGTAATTAGTTACGTCACCATCATCAACTTATGGTAGTTGTGAAACTTCTTCATGCAGGTTTTGGTACTAAACATTCCCAAATGTATGTAATTTAGAGATTAAAGTCTACTATTGCTAAGTACAATCCGCCACAGGGATTAGTAATACGATTATTATTTCAGATTAGTTATTATGTAGTATATACTCGAACATGAAATTGGATGCGATAAGAAATTGGTTAATTTTGAAAATTGTCGAAATTTTCTTAGGCTCTTACATTCTCGTTACGTTGTAGAAAGTGATCATTCTCGAAATTGTTGACGTGGAGCAAATTGTTGGACCATAGGTCTTTTTGGGCTAGCTCCTCTTGCGAATCGAATTAATCAAAAGTGAATTTTCATTCATGATATTGTACGCACCAGCAATACAGGCCTTTGTTGGACATTTTAATGCTGTAAGTATCATATCGTATCACTTTCCGTGAAGTTACAAGTTGTATAATTGTTAAATTACAGTACGATTTGGAAATTATATGTTTGTGAAGCTTGCTTGAATAAAATTGCATGTTGCTATGTATGTGTGCTTAGTCAGATGATGTTTTGTAATGACATAGTATTCGTTAAAGACACTTTATGAGTCGCTGACGGATTTCTGTTGTAGCTGAGGCTTGGCGCAGACTTGGCTACTTAAATGCGCATATCAAGATCTTGGGGTGCACGACTTGCCTGATCTGCGATTGGTCACGCTTTCTTATATTCTGTGTAACGTTGGTTAACTGTGATACCGACCTACATTTTACTAATAATGTTTAGTCTTGTAACATGATCGTTTCATATCACTATGTCTACACATGTTCTATTGAACGAACCTAACAGATAGTAGGTATATAAAAAAGTCTTACTAAGTAACGGAATGTCTGCGTATCGCCTTAAAAGTACAACCTTAATTTAAATAATGACATAATTATATCTACTTACAAGCTACAGCCGAAAAAAATGCCCATCAGTATAAAGCAGTAGCACCACAGTGGAATCGTATTGTCGATAAGATGTTTCTATACTGGGTGGTCGGCTTGCTGGCGGTGGCGGTAGGGACGCGGGGTGACGCCGAGGTGATGAGCCATGTCACTGCGCACTTTGGGAAAACGCTCGAGGAGTGCCGGGAAGAGGTCAGTGTAGAGAAGATCATTTGTCAAAAAGACCCTAGTGTTGGGTTGCCGACAATCTAGAAGGTGACTCTTTTCTGATATGTAAGTTATATTTCTTCAACTTTATCGATGCTCCCAGTCAGGTCTTCCGATGGAAGTAATGGAGGAGTTCAAGCAGTTCTGGCACGAAGACTTCGAGGTGGTGCACCGTGAACTAGGCTGCGCGATAATTTGCATGTCTAACAAGTACACGTTAATGAAGGAAGACTCCAGGCTCCACCACGATAACATGGACGCGTATGTCAAGAGCTTCCCTAATGGTAAGAATCTTAATTTATCGAGTTCTTAGGTTTTCGCGATTGTTACACATAGGAAATGAAACTTTTTATTTATTTATTTATTTATTATTTCCCACACTTATAACTATCTTTACAGGTTATTACCTAACGCGATAGCTAAGGAACTAAAAAAAAACAACCATACTAAATTATTTTTTATAACATATTGTAAATAAAGCCGCCCTTGTGAGTTCACTCAAAGTACAGGTAAATATGTCAATTTGGCTAGCCACTAAGTTGAGAGTGCGGAGTGCGCGCGTAGACATAGACCGTGACCAAGGGACCTGTAATGGGCCCGAAAAGTTGGTTTGTTTGAAAAAACAAATATACGCGATTTAAATCGGGAAAAATAGTTTCATTTCCTATCTTAATTTATTTTTTATTTTATTTTTAACAAGGTTAAATCTTATTGCAGTCAGTCTTATGCAAAAATAATGTCGTTTAAGAACATATTTCATGCATAGCTATCTACTTAATTCACCGCGGTCACTTGTAAGAAATACTAGCGTCCCATGCCTTTCTGGGAGAAATAACGAAGTCCTCGACGTATGCCCTAAATAACATGAGCCAGTAATCAAAAAGCTAGCCAATTGTCCTTTACTGTGAACTTATTTCCGATCGTGTAAGTAACTAGGAGTAGTGATCAGTTTATTATCATTATACACAATTCCAGGTGAGATTTTATCGAAAAAGATGGTGGAGTTGCTTCATAACTGCGAGAAGCAGTACGACGACATCACGGACGACTGCACCCGAGTCGTCAAGTCAGCTGCCTGCTTCAAGCGAGCTTGCCAGGATTTGAACCTCGCGCCTGAAGTGGCTATGGTCGAAGCTGTTATGGAGCAGTATAAATAATTTGGTCTATATGCCAAATTCCGGTATTATCCCGGATGTCCTCGTCTTCTTAGAGTAGATGTAGATTCTTCTAGATTTCTTGCTCGTACCTAATACTAGATGTTAATAACGAGAATAACCCAAATACATACATTGTGCTTTCGGCTTCTACTTGGTCGGGTAAAAACAGTCTATACGTACCTGCCATGGAACTAGGTAGTAACGAGAAAATAAATGTTGCTACTTACTTAACTTCAGTTCCAAAATTAATGTGTTTATGTCAATAATGAAATGTATAACGTCTTAAAAAGTACTTTTTGCATTAAAACCGGTAGAAACTAGTTTTGAGTACATCTTACGTACCACTTCTAAATAATAGCTTAGATATCGAAGTGTGTATAACACTTTAAGTTTAAGGATAAAGAACTATGTAACATTTCGACCTCGGGCATGTTTTATGGATCGATTGATTTTTAATTGTATTATTTGTATTACAAATTGGCTAATTAGAGAAAATCTAAAAATACATTACATTACGAAGGCTTGCATTTTCTTTTTTTCCCCAATGTTCTTCTTCTTCTTATTTTTAATTATTGGCGGTGCCCTTTTAGAATTTCGCCGGCATCAAGTGTTCCGCTAACATGGGTACGTACAATGTAAGAAATATAAGGAACATGGCGATCATCGCCAATGATCAATGGCTTCTGCTTAAGAAAACTTTATAGATTCCAGTGGCGTCGGTAATTCAGTAAGTTTTGTGGGGGTGTACTTTATTAGAGAGAGCAAGCTCATGAAGTGAATTTTGAATTCACAGACCCACAGGCTGACAAATATATCTACAACGATAAGAGCACATCATAGTCAATTTAGTGTTATATTATTGCTGGATATATAATCACAGAGGTCCATGATAAAAGGGGCGAACACATATTTTAGGGTTGATGTTAAAGTTCGTGGGTTTGTGGATGAACGGAGGAATTTCCCAAATCCATGTTTCTCTATTGATGCTCACAATTGTCAACGTCAAAAATAAGTTTCTCCGTAGCCATAAAAGATATTCCAAAGGTTGTAATCTCGTAGCAAAAAGAAAGTCGACATGAGTCTTCAGTAACCTCCGACAGTGGCATTCATGTGCGCACTGCGTTCCGATGTTAAAGGGTAAGGGTGTACACGGGACTTATGTCTCAGGGTGACGGTAGTGGGAGTGCCCCTCAGATCTTTGCGATTTAAAACTTTGAGCGGCGCTGCAACTGTTACGGACAGGCGTGTGATGTGATTTGAGGTAAAAAAAATACAAAAGTCCCCACCAGTGGGAATTCCTCAGTGGAAATTTGTGGAAATACACCCGTCAGTGCAGCGCATGAAACGTTCATGCACATTAATTTGGCTCTGTCGAACCCGCAACGCCGCAACGCCACGCACTGCAATCATCCATCACGCTGTCACAAGCGGCTACTGCAAGCAAAACACGAAACTAGTTTGGCGTGCATTCAACACTACGAATTATAGGTGCGTACATTGTATTCCTAAATAATTACACCTTCTAAGAGACTTAAAACCACTGTGAGATTCAGTTATGAAATATTAATTTCATGTCAACAATTTAACGTTTAAACAATAGTAGCTCCAATCCAATGCATTATGTAAATTTTTATGAACTTAAAGTACAGAATTATATTTTCTTGGCCTACACGTCTTGCTCCATATTACGGCCCTGACCGTTGACATTTTCGGGTCAGAGTGTGAAGTTATTTGAACTTTTGATTCTTGTTCAGGAACTTCCTTTATGAGTTTTATTGTGAAACAAAAACTTTATATGAAAGATTATTTACTTACTCTGCTTCTGCTTCTTGGATGACAACAATCCGTGGTACTAGTGACCCGTTTAGCTCTGTCAGTTTGTTTCTGTTAGATATATGAAATAAATATTATAAATTATAAATGTAAACAAATGTCTGTTTATAAAAAAGCAAGTTTTGTGCTCATTCTTTTCAGGGGAATCTGCCTGGCCAATGAACAGTAAAGTTTAATCAGTACGATTATTTAATTTGCTTACCTTCGAAGTAAAGATGGGTAATTTATAATGGTGATTTTTTATTTATAGTGTTCGTATTATGTTATAGGCACATATTTTATTTCTCATATTAATTTTTCATATAAATTGTAATTTTGTGAGAATGAATGGAAGGTATAACTTTGTCAACAAACATCGTTAGTGCAATCTCCCGTCTGGCTCAGCTGACAGTGAAAAACGATACAATTTCATACAAACATATGGCAAAAGAAATATTCAAAGAAAACAACTGGAATATATTAGGTATGTTTATTCCTCTTTCAAACTCTATCGCAAAGTAACAAGGTTCAAAATATATTAAATAAAATAACATTAACGGTCTTCCCTTTGAATGCATTTATTTCTTCAGATCTTAAATAAGCATTACTGAAAGAAGTTAAGATTCAAAGTGCTATAAAGAACGTTAATGATAGTAAAGCAGGTCCCGGTGAAATACGTTTCGTTCTCCTGTGAGAATTCACAGCCATTTTTCACAGGAACAACGTGTTGAATACTAATGAAGGAGTTCATGATGTTTATTAAGGCTTTGAAAGTATTACGCTTAATTTTACTTTAATTTATGAAGAGAAGGAACCCTTCATGGTTTTTAATATTATGGGCGTAAGCAGACTCGCTCAGGTTATTGACGACCTTTTAAATGTTGATTTGCGGATAATTCAATGATAAAAAAAACTTGGCGTTCTTGGAGTTCAAAACCCTATAAAGTTAACAAATCCCACGTGCCTCTAGTCTCATCAGCACCCTTACCCTTCGAAACCAGAACACAGTAGTCTTCATATTACTGCGTGCCGCCAGAAATAAGTATCGTGACAATACTTCTTTGGACGAACTTTTCTGGAAATTCGGATTTCGTAAATTTACAAAATTAGGCCTACGCCATCTAGCGGTACGCCATGGAACTTCACGTATAATGTAAACTGTGATTTTATTTCTTTACATTTCTTAACGAATCAAAACAGAATTTCAATTGTTAATCAACAGCTTTGACTTCCCTCAAACTATAACATTTAAAATTTGTTACCTCCTGCCAGCCCACACAATAAACTATTATTAATTACACGTCGTAAATCAATACAAAACGACACGTGCACACGTCGTGACTTCAGGCAAACATATTTGAAGGAGTGCCTCGGGGTAAAACTATTGGTCCACTTTACCGCTAATCTATTCAAACTATCTGAAGTGAAATTATAAGTTTGCTTTTGGGCAGAGAACGTTAATTCTATAATGTAGAAGATAAATAAATGTTGCTATGAATACGGTGACGTCATATATAAGTAACCACCTACCTTGCAATCGTGTGAAGATGAGCACTAGTGGCCACCTTAATGACAGGGCGGTGCGGCGGGCGGCAGGGACGCGAGGGGGGGCTGTAAGTGTACTCCCCCGCTTCCGCCCCCGTCAGCCACGACCAGTGCTCTGTCATGGTCGCGGTGACCAAATTGCAACTCCTTCGTCGATCTTCGAATATTCCACTTTACTCAGCACTTTTTCAATTAGTTTAATGCCAATATCGTTCCAATAGCCATGGACAACCTTTTTATTTTGGAATTAACAAAGATGAACACGCGTCATCGGATCATTGAATTTCACTCAAAACTTCATAAATCGTTGACAGTTCAGCCAAAAGTTATTCATATAAATATAAATAAGGTTTTGGTTCAAAATATTATTTATTATTTTTATTATATTTTCTGTTTGGAATGGATAGACCATAATTGTTAGTACACAGGTCTTGTACATATGTATATTATAGCATTTTTAGACATGATATTATAGACCTTCCAAGAACACCGAAACAAAGAGCAATTTGTTTTCTTTTAAAACGAATACGTATCTACTGGGCCACAACCACGTCTAGCTTGAGACTTAAAACTTAAATTCAGACTTGTTTGCAAAATAGCTTGCGTTAAAAACGATTCAAAGTCCAAACTTGATGTGGTCTTGTCTGTAGAGTCCGTTATAAATCGTTAATTTTTAGAATTGAAAATTTCTACACCATTTCAAGGCAATCATCAACAAAGTTTTCTTAAATAAAATTATAAAATAGTACAGTAAATTGTGCACAACTTTTTTGAAAAAATTAACTTTACAATTTCCTAGACGAAACGGTAGTTCCATTAATTATAATCATTGTATATGATCTTATTCTAACGTAGGGATTATATTATTCTCACTTTTTATTTTTTAATTGTAGAGAAAACCGTAATTACAATTGTAAAGTGTATATGTATTAGTTTTCATACATCTGCATTGAAACTTTGTAAATGTAGTGTATAATTGCTATTATTATGTATGTATCGTGGTGGCTTTATTATACAATAAATAAATAAACAATTAAAAAGAATTTTCGGCAAATTGGGTATATTTAGCTACCGTGCAATTAGAGTGACAGCTATTTTGCTTCCTTAAAGTCAGTGATTTCTTGTATTTATATAAAATGGCACGTTCGAGGTCGGCAATTAAATATTGGTTATTGTCGTATGAACATTCTATAGCAGACACTTCAGCCTTAGTTCAAAAGACTAGAGAAGAAAATAGTATTTTATGCAATCGTTGCATGATGAGGGTTCTTAAAGTCGTGTATATCATTATTGTATATCATTTTAAGAGCTAATTATGTAACGATTGCGTACAATACTTTTTCTACGAGTAAATTAAAGTAATATTAACACAACCACTATTTAAAGATTATTTTGTTAACATTCTACGACAATAAACTCAAACGAAAGCCAAACAAAAAAAAACCGAAGATAGATAGAATAAAAGTGTCCGTGATTGGCCAAGTATCGCTTATATTTTAACCAATTAGGAGGCAGAAGAGTGTTTCAGAGTACCGTCATATTTGATATTTTATATTATTTTTAAATAGTTATTTATTGTTAAATGGTTGCACTTTTGTACTTGTTGTGTAACATTTTAAGATAGGTATTATTTAATAAAATAATTTGAACTTAAATAATTTCACAAATATAGTGACGAAATATATGGTTTATACGCGACACTATATATAGGATAGCCTTGAACACCGTCGTAAAGTTGCTTGCATATCGATATTCTACGGAATATATCACGGAGAGTGTGCGATGGAATTACATAATTTAATTCCGCCTTCTCCGTTCCATCATCGTGGGAAGACAAAGGCTGGGCTTCTACGCCTATGTTGTGACAATTCCAAAGATTCGCACGGAGCGTAACGCTTCCACATTTATATGGTGAACGGCTATGGAGTGGAATTCCCTGCTTGCAGACTTGTTCCCTGAACGTTATAATTTGGGCCTTTTCAAGGCGAGCGTGAATAGGCACTATTTAAGTGTGCATGCTACATCATCGACCTCATCGTCGCTTTCCATCAAGTGAGATGAAGGCCAAATG